AAATATTTTTCCTATTAATTATTATTAAGTTATAATATCAAATGTTGTACAAAAATAAAATAATATAAAGGAATTTGTTTGTATGAAAGATATTAAAATTCCACAGTATTTGGTTAAAGATTACACAAATGCATTAATATTTTTTAAAAATATTTATGCAATCAAAGACTCGTATATTAATTAAAAACATGCTTTTTAGTAAGTGGAAAAGATTGAATGATAATCAGTGATAGACATAAGGAGGATATTGATTGATTGACTATAAATTTAACATATAGTGTAATTTATAAATATAAAAAGCGAATGGTATGTATTTATTAATGAAATATATATGATTGTTTCTTTAAAAATTATAGTCTTTAATAGCTTAAAACACTGTGAGATACAATAAAACAGATGAAAAATTTGAACATACAACCGAATTAATTTAGAAAGAAATTTACTAAGAATGAAAACCAAGTTTTATTCCATAAGAGAAACAATTGAAAAAATGTTATTATATTTAATGTTAGTATATTGGATGAGTTAGAAACAATGGCTATATTCAAGAAATATATGAAATCATCAAACTATAATACATACACATTATATATTAAGATTATACATGTTTTTTAATAAGTTTTAAAATAGGTTTTAGTGTAAATGAAAGCTAACATAATAAGTCAATGGAAATTTTGGTCTCTGTAAGTACTGAGTATAAAATAATTTCAAGTGGATAATAATATAACCTACAGAGTAAACTACAAAATTTTGCTGATCCTACTCAAATGAGTCATAATTTTAATTTACATGTTATATCATATTAATCCAATAAAAGTTCGATAAGTTTTATCCTTAAAAGAAAGTAATATCAAAATGATTTAAGAATACAATAAAAAACATTAAAAATTTATTAAATACAGTCGATAAATATTAAAAATATCAAATTATTAATAATTAATGTAGCAAAGTTGACTTTATTATGATACAAAAATTTAAGAATAATTAATTTTTATTAATGAAGAAATAGGTTCAAAATTTTTTATTTCTCACGCGTAACAATATTTTATTTTATAAATAATGAAAATAATCTGTCGAAGAGCTGCACAAATCAGCATATTATATCTACATCATATCTTTCTTTTTTATTTTAGCTAAAATTTTTAATATATCTTATAGAATTGTATGACATTATGACATTTATGACATTGTTTGAAATTGATTGTATTATGTACCCCGAATTTTTAAAAGTCGACTAATAAATTGTTAAATATTTATACTATTTATTTAAGTCATTTATTTAAATCTGGTATTGTAGTCCGTTATTACGCTATATTTATTGTGAATGTATTTAATGTCTATGTTTCAAGTATTATTTATTATTTTAATATATCTAATATTGCTTTAACTTTTATGTTATATTCATCAATGATAGAATTGATTATACTAAAACATTGTTAAACAAAATATTACATTTAAATGTTTGCGGTTAATAATTATTACAGATGGAATGTATTTTCAAAGCTGATAGTACTCGTTTCATTTCACTCCATCTTCTACCACCAGATCTTCAATTTATTAACAGTTCTGTACGCTAACCCTTCTCCGATGTTCCAATATAACTTTGATCTAATGCTCTTCAAGTGTCCATTAAGTGTATGGTATATAAGCTTGTAAAATTTATTAATTTTTTACAGATTTGTATTAATGATGTGTATAGGTGATATAGTAAGTTCAAGCCCACAATGAATATTTATAACATTTACTGTATTACAAGCTACTAAATTGCATGCTTTATGCAGTGTTCTCATCATATCCACATAATGCTGTAGGGAGTGCATGATGGAGCGAGATTCAGTTTTGTGTGTATCTAAATTTTAAGAGGTAACTAGAAAAGTAGATTAGTCTTCTTATCGCAGACTACTTTTATACTACAAGTTGTGTAAAAATGTTGTGGATGAAAAGAGAGGAAAACTATATACGAAGCGTTAGATCAAGGAAAATTGGTATAAGAAAGTGCAAAGCTCAGCAGCAAAGGTTGATTAGATATAAGTAATAATAGTCAATACTACGAGTTTTTGAGGAATAAGGCTACCTATTATTACACAAATTAAATTATAATATTTTGTATATACCATGGATCGTGGAATAGCTATTGTAAATTATTGAAGAAATAATCAAAATATTTATTTAAATAATATATGTTAATGTCTAAAAATCTATTATATAGATAACTTTTTCTATTGATTCAACTCAAAATTCAAAAGAACATGGCTGCTATTTAAAAAAATTGAATTATTGAATCATAAATACAGTTTGCGTAGTATAATAAATATGCAATAAAAATGTTATATATAAGTAGATAGATAAATATATATACTATAGTATTTAAAAAATGTATTAACTTTTCATGTAGCCTCTATTTTTATCTTTCTTTCAAACTACACCCTTTTTTTACGCACAATAACTTTTTTTTCTTCTATTTTTAAAATACATTTGGCCTACTTACTGTATTTTTCATTCAATTTTAAATCATCCTTCCTTTTCCTTTTTTTCTTTTACTATGAAATTAAAATTTAAAGAGTGAAGTAAAATAAAGTTTCCTTTATAATTAATTATATACATAATATAGAATAATATTATCAAATAAGTATATATATAATTATATTAAGCAATATTTGAAAATGAATTTGTATTAAATCAAATTGTGAATATTTTATTTTTTAAAAACTTCATTACATTTATTTATAAATAATTTATGTTGAATTTTTCATATTTATTAAGAAATGAAAAATAAAATATCATAGCATTAAAATTAAAATAATAATATAATAAATTATATATAAATAAATTAATAAAATAAAATTATAATTTAATTGTACTAATAAAATTGTACAATTAATATACAAATAATATAATGTGTATGGCAGACAATGTGACAATGCTTAAGATAAAAAACAAGTATGTTATAATCTATAAGTATTTTTATAAAAATGTTTATTCAATAGGTATAATGTGGAATTTAAAAAAGTGACATCAAAATATCGACATTTTAATTGTAAGAAAAATTCTAGTTTTTAAAATAAAAAATATTCATTAACAGTAATATTAAGTTTCTATAAATTATGATATTTTGATTTTTGTTATACTAAAGAAATTAATACTATAAACCTGGTGGTTAAAATAATTAAGTGCTGATAATAAAATAATTAAGCTGTCTATATAAAAATTACTGCACGAAATGTTTTTTATTTATTACCCATGAAAAATGTGTTAAAATTTTCAAAATTATTGTATATTAAGTTATTCTATATTAGATATATATATAATAATTCATGAGACACTATATTAGACTAAGTTATTCTATATTAGATATATATATAATAATTCATGAGACATTTACTAAACCAAATTTTAATTGAATAATTTAATTATTATATACATAGTAATTTAGCAAAACATTAATGTCAATGATTGCTTAAATTCTAATTCGTAAAAAATTTATTTTTAATAATTCTGTATTTAATAAACTTAATTACATAAATAAACTTTGAAAGAATTATGAAATTATAAGAAAAATAATTTAATTTTATTACAAATAAATTTAAATCTATTTGGCCAATATTTTGAGCAAACTCTTTTTTAAACAGTTTAATAAAAAGAGAATACAGAATTATGAAAATATTTTAGTTAAAACTTAATTTTTATATGGTATAAGCTCTAATTTATCTGATTAAAACAATGTATTTAAATTTTTCTTTTGAATATTAAAAATGTATTAGTCAAAATAAATAAAATAATAGGTGAATTAATTAATGACCACATTGTTACAAAAATTTATTAATAAGGATCTGTAAATCACTTTTTAATACTGTGCTGTAATTAAAGTATTAAAAGTAAAGTTTTAATAAACTGCTTCATTTATTAATAATATTATTTCAATATACATTAAATATAAAACTTTCTTTATATCAACCATAAAAATTATAATAAACTTTGCAATACAACATAAAGGACTGAATTTCTTATATTTTTTCCTAATTTTAGTTTTCATTTGGATATTCAATAGACAGAATTACGAATAAAAACTATAGTTATAAAGAATAGATTTTGAATACAGAGAATGGTCGCTTATTTATGTCTTTACGACACTAATAAGTCGAAAATGTGTGGGTCCAAAAGCTACGCATTTAATGGCCAATTTAAAATTATGAATACATCATAATTTATTAAATAAATTTATAATTTTTTATATACTGGGAAAATACGAGTTTTTATTTGTAAAATATAAAATGTAAACTGATTATGCTGTAGTCATAATGTTAAATTGTAATCATAATGTCAAATATTAATTCCTCCAATGCTTCATCGGTAGATCTAAGAAAGTTAATCAAGAAACTTAAAACTTTGTATAATATTTTATTATAATAGTTAAAAAATCAATTAGTAAATTTACAATTTTGGTTGATTCATTTTTAAAAGTTTATACAATAATTATTATATCAATAATAATTATGTCAATAATGTTTATATAAAAACTGTTATTTTATCTTTTAAAATTTATTATAATAATTCAATAATACTAGTAAGTTGTGGTTATTTAATAGAATGAAAATACCAATAGAATGATGATACCATTTTATTATTAATTACTCAAACTTTATGACAATTTCAGAAGGATAAATTTTAATATATATACTTACATTAGTTTTTATCTTTTAAAGTAAAGTTAATTCATAATATAAATCAATTATAAATTAAGAAATATTTAATGAACGAAATATATTTATAAATAAAATAATGTTTTTTAATGCAATATAGTTTAAATAGAGTAATATGATTTGAAATACATACTTCTAATAATTAAGAATTTAAATCATATCTATTTTAAACTATATATTACATCTCATTGATATTAAATTAAATTAAATTAAATTTTTCTTTTATTTTTATATAATATGAAAAATATAGTAAATAAAACAATCATTCGACTTAGAGTATATAGAATGCTTTGCTCGCAGATTTCGAAATTGGTCTCACATAGAGACAGGCCGTTCCGTTCCAAAAGGAATCCCGGAGTGTTAGCTCGAGTTGGTCAGGGTGTAAATCTTGCTGTCGAGAGGTTTGTAACCGTCGCCGAAACCATAGCTGACGACAATCTTGAAGTCAAACAAGCTATGTACGAGGCATGCAAAGAGGCAAGAATCGCTGGTAAGTGAAAATAATTAATCCATTTTTAATTTAAGATCAAAAGCAAATATTTCAAACTCCAATCATGGTAAAATTTTATTTGTAAATCTTTTAGACAAGAAATTATGAAAAACGAATAAATAGTTTCATTAAATTTAATTTTTTGATTATATGAAAAGTTTACAAAATTAGCATAACATTTTTTTTAAACATTCCAATCGATTATTTTAATAATACCAATTTGATGTATTAATTTGTTCATTCTTTTAAAAATGGAAGTATGTGTATAGTTAAACAATATTTATGTACTTCTTTTAAATAGAAATTTTTACAAAATTAATTTTAAGTATATTGCATAGTTTTTATAATAATTCAATTAATATTGAAATACCAATAGTTTTTATTTTACGAAAATTAAAGTACTTACACATATTGAAGTTTAAAGCATCTAATGAACGGATGAAATTACAAACACGTCAAGTTTTAAACAACATTATTCCAAGATTTTTTCAGTCCTTTGTGAAAAAAAACAATATGATATTTTTCGTATTTAAGAATATGAAATTCAGATGAGATATAATATTAAAATAATCTGGATGTTAATATAAGAGCAAACACACAAAAGACATTATAATAGATCCAGGTATGCGTATAATAACTCAAGTGAGAAACAACTAACTAGAGGATATTTGAATATAGATTGGAGGAACTAGTTTAAAGTTTTTGCAGAGATTTGCGTAAAATTAGCTTGATTAGAATTCTTAATTGAAATATTTATTTTAAAATAATTAGATTTTCAATTTAGAATAATAAGATATTACTGAATTAAATAAAAATATTATATTTACTTACAATTATAATTGATATTTATATTCTTAGAACTAATTGGTAATTAAGTCAGAAATAAAAATCTAAAACAAAGATTTAAAAATTCTTTTACGATCTACATGTTTTTCTATCTGTTTATATTGGTGATCACACATTACATATTTGAGAAAAATTTAATATATACATTCCTTACATTAGTGTGATCATATATATGACATTCAATCTCTGAAGACACATTGAAAAATACACTTATGAAAAGTAAGGAAAAATACATACGACAACAAGAAAACAGTATTGTGATGCTGTTAATGATAGGGCAGAATTGCAAAATTGAAAACCGGATAGAATAAAAATACAAACATTGGACTCGATGCAAATGCCTTCTCTATGTAATCGTCATGCGCATCGACACGTACAACTGTTCCGAAGAGATTAATCATTCCTGTTTCTTCTTGCGACATTGGTTTTTTATTATTATCTATATAATTATTTGTTGATCTATGAATATATTTTCTATCTGTTTTAATATATGTTCATTATATTCATTTTAATAATTTTTGCAAATATTTTCTCTTGCAATATCACATTTATATGGGCGTGTGCGTATTTTATTATACATACGCACAATACACAATATTCTACACACAATATGTGTATATTTGTCTATTTAATATTATATTCTTGTATATACATTAAATTATTCGCACAAATATATATGAATACATTATATTAAACACATGCGACAGACTTGTGATCTGTAGCGTTTACTGGTAATTTAAATTGCAATTAGGTCAAAGCATTACCGAACTAATATCAAATATTAGTACTCAACAAAAAAAAAAAATAAAAAAAAATAAAGATATTACTAAACACAAGAAATATATTTTATTTTTGGTTCACCTGTAACATTCACTTATTGGGTTATTATAAATCAACTGTGTATAATGTACTGGACAAGAAAATTATAAAAAAAATTATTCTTATATTTACTAACTATCATCTTATATTTATTTTAAAAATCAACGAAAATATATAGAATAAAGGTATCTTTTATTCTGTATAATATGTTTATTAACTAATGCAAAATAAAGTAGAAAATCTATTAAATAAATCTTTGCATATATAAATTATAGAATGTCTATTACATCGTAAAATGCATTTCATCATATAGTTCTGAGTTATCTGACTAATTACTTAATGTCTTATTATAATAAGATTTTATTGAGACATAACAAATATGGACGAAATTACATAAAATCGCCCTTCAAACATCTATTTGGACTAGAATACAGAATACCTATATTAAATTCTAATTAATTTATAAATTTGATAAACAAAATTTAAAAATTAAAAAAAATTTATTTTAGTTTATATTTACTTATTCATCAATCGTTGATATAATTTATTATTTATCAATGAATATCTTGGTTATAAACGTTTAATTTGATATTTTATTTCAACAATATTTCAAACAGCTTTAAATAACTTTTAAAAACTTAAAAAATATACTGGTAAATCTATAATATGTCATATTTTATATTAATTCTCAGTAGCTGCAGGCATAGATTCTTTAATTATTAAACCGATCATTTGTTTTTATTATAAACGTCTATATATTTATAAAACCATTATATACATATACCTATATAATAAAAACATTATAGAACACTTTTAGCTTTTTCTATGTTTTGCGATTAAACCAGGTTAATTTATAAAAGTTTTCTATGCAGTTATACAATTAAAAGTAAAATATTTTATTTTATTCAGAAATTAACACAAACTATTTTCATGAATGATTTTTTAGCCAAAGCTTTACATATTTTATACATATTTTCAAAATTACATAATTATATTAAAAATTATGAATATTTATAATTTATTGAAAATTAACATTTCTTAAGTAACAATACTTCTTGTAAAAGTAATTATATAATTCATTGAATCCACTATATTTATAAAAATAACACAAGTTCTATAAATAGCTATCAATATGTTTTCTCAGTTTTCTTATTTATACTTTATTCAATTTCTAGTCTTATAAATTTTATGATTTTAAATTCTTAATGTAGAAATATGAATGTAACACAGAAAAATCTTTTATTTGACACATTTAGATCTCAATAGTACACAATTAAATAATTTATATAAATAATTAAGCTATTTATAATACATATTCATTGATTTAAGTAAATCTTACATATAACAAATATATTCATAAATTTGGTTAAATAATATATAATCACTATAAAATAATATATAATTTAATTTAAAATAATAAATAATTTGAATAATCAGCACTTTTTAAATTATTTAAAATAGGAAAACTGAGTATTATTCTTTTTAAGTGTAAACAACTATTTAGAAGCAATAAAAAATTAAATTATGGTCATCGTACATTTTATAAAGAAATACTCGATATAAAGATAAAGTACATTATTTTAAAGAATGATTAAAACAAAAAGTATTTAAATATAATATATAGTATTATTAAACTCTTTAAGTTCTTTCCTTTTTCAGTAAATCCATTTAATATAACATCTAATAGTAATATAATATTAAATATCATCTGCACTAGACGTCTGCACTAGACTTCACAAAAAATCGTTATTTCGAATTATTAGGTTTCCAATAATTTTAGTTTATATTTTTCATTTTCAATAATATAAATATACTACAAAATATATATGCACAATGGACTTACATACAAAAAGCTATTGAACTAAAAAATTATATAAGAAAAATTAATAAAATTTATTTGTTTCTATTATTCTAGTTTTGTAAGAAATAAATAGTTAAAAGTTTTAATTTGTTACATTATTTGAACTTATTTAAATTTGAAACTATGTTTGACTAATTTTGAATCTATAATATAAAACTGTTTAAAATTGGGTTGAATCAATATAAATGTAAATAAAAATAATAGCTAACTAACATATTGTGAATTTCTCGTGTTAGTTTAATAACTTGAGTACAAACTGTAATAATGGCAGTAGCAGAAAGTATGAGTGCAAATTTTTAACTCTGTTATTTTTATGTATGTTTGGCTCATACCTAGGAATAATTGTATCCAAAGTAAATTATTAGTAGTCTGTTTTAATAAAAATTAAATCTATATTTACAATAATTTACTTCTGCCTTCTTCATAGCGGATGCTTTATCGATAGCATATTGTATAACAAGAAAAATATAAAAATAATCAATAACCATCAAATTTACAAATAATATATCTAAATAATATCATATATCTAAATAAGAATGTAATCTAAAAAAAGAATCTAAAGAATGTATATCTAAATAAAGAATCTAAATCTAATAAAGTATCTAAATAAGAATGAAAATACAATATTTTGTTATTTATATTTAGATTTACATTCTATTAGATAACTTTATATTCTATTAGATAATTTTTAATATTCCTTATCATATAGAATAAATTTTTAAATTAATTTCATTTTCAAAAATGGTTACTTAATTCTTCTTGTAACACTTTTATACAACATTTTCGTTTTATGAAATTTAATGAGGTGATTAATAAAAGTTGTGCATAAAATATAAAATTATTTAAAGAAATTTAAAGACCTTGTTTATTTTATTTATTACTAGCTAATGTTAATGCTTCATTGATTAAATTTATAATGTAAATTTAATAATTTATGTCTATTAACTTTTTAGGATCAACCATTGAAAAACTATGTGAATGCGCAATAGAAGAAAGCCTAACAGATAGAGAGGCAGTAATGCGAGCTGCTAAATGTCTTTTAGGTTCGATAACACGGGTACTTTTACTTGCCGATATAACTGTTGTTAAACAATTGCTGACGGCTAAGGATAAGGTAGCACGTAGTCTTGGGCGTCTTGAAAGCGTATCTAATTTTACGGAATTTGTCAAAGCCTTCAGCCAATTTGGTGCCGAAATGGTAGAATTAGCTCATATGACAGGTGATCGACAAGTAAGTAATAATTATTTATTATCATTTATTTATACTTCGAGCCATCAGTTAATCAAATAATGTTTTTACTTTAAACATACTTTATATATCAAAATTTAATATTGGTTTTTAACTATAAAAAAATTTTTCTAAATTTTTAAATTTAATTCGTACACCAAATAAATTTTAATTTAAATAAAGAGTACTACTGTTTTTTATTTATTAATAAATTATATTATTTTATAGAATAATAAATGTATCCTAAATTTTGTTCACAATCACTCAAAAAAATTAGTTTAAAATTTAGTATTTAAATTTTAAACTAAAACGCCTAATAAAACAAAGTTATAAGAATTTAATAATAATATTAATTTATGGTAACCGAATTCATATTGAATTAACATTCTCGATTACATTTATTACACAGAAATACATGCTAAAAATGAAAGTATAATGTACCTGTAGTAGATACTGCATTCGCACAAATGGCATTAAAAATGAACTAGAATTGTAAAATAACAAAATGAATATAAACGAAAAAAATTATTATTTCTTAATTACGGTTTTCATAATAAATAAACTTCTAATTCTCGCTCTCTCTCATTCTCTTTCCATTAATAACTAAACATTTTATTTCGCAACATAAATGCCTTTCTCCTGGCACTCTCTCTCTCTCTTTCACATATTTTAAGTTCTTTAGATTTAATCATATTTTTTTTAATCAAATGGCTAATTCAATCGTTTTTAATATCTCATATATCACATATTTTATTATTTATTTTTTATTTAATTGTCATATGTTGTTATTCACCGTATAATGAATTTTTGCGATGGTACTATTATAATGTAGAGAATATTATTCTAAACGCTAAAAATAAATTTTTATTACGACATGTAACATGTAAAATAAAAAATCTCTTGATTAACAGCAAAAAGTTTGTATACAAAATTGATTTTATTCTTTAGCATAGTATAGCGAATTATATATTTCTTACAATCATTTCCAAACATTTTGGTTTTATTTGTTTACTGCAATGTATCAAGCTTTCTAAAATCTATAACAAAAATCTAAATACATAAATATACTCTTATCTTAGCAAAATTTCTACTTCTACGTTTCTTTGTGTTAGAAAATAGTCACCAGGAACTGGATCTTGAAAATATAGAGTTCGTAGTTCATAGTAGTAATTCGTATTTCAATTAATTCGATTTTTTCATTACTTTTAAAGTGTTCGTATCGATGTATTATCTTTGAGAAAGAGTTTTTTTTTAATAAAAATATAAAAGCAAACATGAATGAATATAATAATTCAATAAAATTTATTTCTGATCAGAATGATCTGAAAGATGAAAGACGAAGAGCTCAAATGGCTGCAGCCCGCCAAGTACTGGAAAGAAGTACAATGATGCTTCTTACATCAAGTAAGGCATGTTTGAGGCATCCGGAATGCCCTTCTACGAAAGAAAACAGGGATACGGTTTTTTGCCAGATGAGACGAGCAATGGACCTTATTCATTATGTTGTAAAAGATGGAGTATTAGACTGTAGCGAATCCTCATACTCAAATTCACAAGTGAGAATTAGTAATTATTTAATTTTACTATATCTAAATGGTTGAATAATAAAATTAATTGTGAAATGAAAAACACAATGCACTTTAATAGATCATAAATTAGATAATAAATTATAATAGGTAAATGTTTGACTTACACGATTTGTAATAATAATTTAAATGCAATGCATAGTTGCATTGCATAATTCATTTTTTAATTTTTTAACCTTTGACTTAAAAAAACTAAAAATATCTGATTTATTTTAATTATTCAATTCGTATTATTAATAGTTATTAAATTGTCTTTAAATAATACGAAATTTATAGAAAAAACAAAATATTCGATATTTAAAAAAAATTTTAACAAATATTGTTAGAGAAATATATTTTTAAATGAATTCAAATTAACAAAAGAAGTATTGTTAAGAAAATATATTTTAAAATGAATTCAAATTTTAAATATATTGCAGATTCTTTTAATTTTCTTCTCTTTTAAGTAAATTACCAAGTAAATTAGTGATTAATAATTATTAAACTAGAAGAATGCTTATCACATTATTATTGTGAACAGAGCTCACAACAAGAAGACTGGGTCAGCACTACCGTCTTTTCATCACTTAAGCATTTCGAGAGAATTGTGGAGTCAATTAGGATGACATTACTGAGTGCTGGCTGTCGTGAAACCCTTACCTCAGCGCTAGATGTCGTGGTTGAGCGTACTCAGGACTTTACAGACAGTGCATATACAAGTCACGAGCATCGTGAAAATATTCTTTTGTTATGTGATAGAGCAAAACTTGAACTCAATACTCTGTTACGAGTCGGTAACAGTATGGTAAGATCTAAGTTCTTGGTTTTTAAGTTGCATTAATTTTTCAATTTCGTTAGCCTTATTATGTTATAAAGTCCATCAGAAAAATATAACAGTTATAATACTAGAAAATCGTTTCTTAAAATTTTAAAATACCGTTAATCTTTTTTTGAACGAATTTATCTTTAGGTAAAACTTTAAATAAATTTCTATTCCGACAACAAATAATAATAACAGATAATTATCATAATAGCAAGAATAACTGAATACTACAAATTATTTTTAAATTAATTACTTATAATAAGGACTTTTAAATTTTAAATTGAATACTTAAATACTAAATTTTCTTTTTTTGTTATAAAGTAGAGAGTTTAATAACTGGCATAAATATGTTAAATTTATTAAAATATTGCGATATGTGTGGGTATGTTTGGGATATAAGAGGTTTTTTTAAATATGTGGAAATTTCAGATAACTTAAGTACATATATAGTAAATATATTTTCAATATATTACACATTCATTGAATAATTTGTAATTTATAGAACGAAATACCTAATAAGCAGTAGTAATAAAAAACTCTATAAACAACAGATATAATATTTAAAATATATTTTAAAAACTTTTATTAGTTTTCGATTTTGAAAAGTAATTATATTATCACAAAGAATAATATCATAAATAATTCTATGATAAAATATTAAATACGCTTTGTAAGAACTACTGCAGCTCATGTATTCTTAAATATTGTACTCATATATTAAACCTTTTTCAATTACATGCATATAATTAAATATCTTCATTGATGATTAGAATTTATATTTCTGATTTAGATGAAAATGCATTGTTTTTTAGTATTTAAGAACTTGTTAAATAAGCTATTTATTAGCAATAAATTTGCCGATTTTAATGAAAAATTCTTATTGTAGTTATTTTACGTGAAAAATTTTTATTTACGGAACCGATAATATAATTTGGTTATTATAATATACTATAAAATAAATATATATACAAAATATAAAATCTGTAAAATAAATCTGATAATTTTTATGTATTTACAAACTTATTGAACTTATCAATAATTATTATATTTTTAATAAATTTGTATGACTCTGTAATCATGGAAAGTAAAGAAAACTTAAATTCTGTATCTATTTTGAATATTATGATTACAATTATAAAGTATTTTAATGTTGTTACTTCATAAAATCTAAATCATTATGGTTTTCAATAGTTCTATTAATTATTAAAGAAAAAATTCATAACATTACATTTAACATCAATAAGAAAATTCTACTTCCAATCAATATATTAAGTGTATACATTTTACATGTCTATATGTATATCTTATTTAGAACTTCGATACAAATAACAGTGGTTCACCAAACGCAGAACTAGATCAGACAATACTAGGTGTCCTTAGAGCTACTCGTGACCTTCGCCAACAACTATGTCAAACAACACTGGAACAGGCTGGTGATCTTGGACAAGTGACCAAAGCTGGACAAGAACTTGTATCGAGCATCCGAAATCTTGCATTCACTAACGATATCAACAAATTACAAGAAAACAGTGATCGTTTCCATGAATACATTGAGCACATTCTTGAAGTAAGATATCAATCTTGACTAATTTATTTTACATTTGTATATTGATTATTACATATGCAAAAATACATTTAATAAATTACTTATCATATATTAAATTACTTATCAATGTGCATATACTGAACAATTATTATAAATTATATAACATTAAATAATTACAACTATGCATTATATACAAATTACATCTATTAATGTTCTACGGGATAGAAAATTCCTAATCAATTCAATTTAATTTTTAGTTACAAATTATAGTTAGTTTAGTATATAATTTAGTTTACAAATTATATACTATACGCTAAAATATAATCAATTTAATTATATAATCTAATTTTACACTTCAAAATGTTAATTACAAATAATTGTAATTATTCGTAGGTTTGCAAACTTTTAAGACACATTGCTCTTTCTGAATCACTTCAAGTTTCAGCGAAGTTTACAGAAATTAATTTACGAATATATGGACCCCAAGTAATTACAGCAGCCTATACATTGGCAAGGTATCCTACTAGTAAAATTGCTAAGGAAAATTTAGAAGGTAAATACTTGATGATTTTTATTGTTACTTTTTAACTTATACCTATAGTATGTAGAAAGCATTTCTTAGTATAAAATATTAATATATTTTTTAATAATATAGCATAAGTAAGTAATATCTTATAAAAATTAATACTGAAACTGATTCATACTGATATTTTCTTGAATTTCATAAAAGTATATTATTTGTAAAAATATAATACAACGAATGTAAATAAATGAGTAAGTAGCTGAATTATTGAGTGTCTATGATAATATAATTGAAAAATTAATAATCATATTTAAAATAATTTTAATAGTAATGATAAAGAAATATATTAATACATTAATATTACTAAAATGATTTATTAGAATATATTTTTAATCGGTGTAAAATAAAAATTATAAGGTGTATTATTAAATGAAATATCTATTCAATTTTATGAATTTATCAGTCATTGTATACAAAAATTTATTTCAATGATTATTTATTATTAGACTTAATCTTTAATCATTTAACAATAAATTATAAATCGATATTCTTAAATTTATAAACCCATTTAAATTAATTTAGTAATCATAATATTATGTATTATATAACATACAACTGAAATGAATGTTCATTACATTTCAAATATACATATTCTTAACCCTTTAATCTTAAAAATTAAATACTTTCAATATTTTAATTGTTATGATTAATTTTAATTCAGTAATATAAACATTAATTTTGCATAGTATTTGCGGATATGTGGCAATGGCTAATGTCAGATGTAACAACCGTGGCAAAAGATGTTCTTGAATTAAGTAAAAATCGCTCTGAGAAGCAAGTGTACATGTCACTCCCAAGGCCAGGAGTATGTAAAATTAAATAAAAATATACAAATTATATAGAAATAAAAATAATAATTATAAAATCATTTATTACTTATTAGAAACATGGCACAACTAGTAAGCCTTTAAAACCTGTAAGACTAGATAGTGAAGAACAAGCAAAAATTGCAAAGGCTGGTTTGGAAATGAAACGTATAACTTCAGAGATGGATGCAGAAACAGAAAAATGGCAAGAGAATGGTACAGCTCTGGAGGAGAATAACGATATAGTTAAACGAGCAAAAAATATGTCATCAATGGCTTTCTCTATGTATCAATTTACTCGTGGCGAAGGAGCCTTAAAAACTACTCAAGATCTCTTTACTCAAGCTGAATATTTTGCAGAGGAAGCTAATAGACTGTACAAAGTTGTGAGACAATTTAGTTACCAGGTCAGTTTATTAATTTTTTCTACTGTATTACAAATTTTATATTGTTTATTTAAAAATGCTTTAAATCATTCAAATTATGTTTAATGTTATTATTTATATAATTTATTTCAGACTTTTTTGTCTTATATTATTTCTATTGAACTTTTTTTGTTATCTTTATTTCATAATATTTAGGTAGCAAACTATGTCTATGTTTCTTTGAATTCTCAATATCTTTCTCTTTATTTCCCTTATTTTACCTATTTTCATTATTTTAATTATTATTTTGTATATTATTTAATTAAAATCAAAATAATAAATATAAATATAAATACTTTAATAAACATTAATTTAAAATAAATGCTTCTAATGTCATAAATTAAACACCATATTTTCGTTAAAATTTTATAATATAAATAGAGATAAAATTTAAAATAAAAATTAAATCTTATAAATTAAACTTAACAGAAAAATATAATTTTTAATATATTTTAGTCATCAAATTCAGAAAACATCTATGATACTCTCTACAATTTCAATTAGGAAAAATTTTAAACTTGAATTTGAAGTGTTTGTTTAACATAATATTTGAAATAGAAATCTCTAAATAAGTCTTTCTACAAGGATAGGTACCAGGTGGACCTCACAAAAAAGAACTTCTTGAAAATCTTGATCGTGTACCAACATATGTACAACAACTTCAATTTACTGTTAAGAATCCTACTGTGGGAAAAGCTGCAACATTCATAAAGGTTGATAATGTTATACAAGAAACAAAAAATCTTATGAACGTTATATCAAAGGTTGTAACTACGTGCTTCGTTTGTGCCACAAAAGTAAGTTCAATAAAATTATACTTTATTATACTTCACTACACAAATGCTAATTTTAATCGTAAATGTAGATTACATAAATATTTTGTATAGTAATTGTATACTTAAAAGGCGACAATTTCTTCGCTAATGTGTCCAATAAATTTTTTTTTTTAATTTGAAATGTATAAAAATACAATAATATAATAGTTTATTTTAAGTGTTTAAGTACTTCTTAGCCTGTATTGTATAAATTTTATAGATTTTTAAGTTGTTAGATGACATTAGAGAATATTATAGTTGTATATAATATATATATATATAATATATAATATATAATCTATATATAATATATAATATATAATATATATATAATATATAATATATAATATATATAAAATATATAAAATAAAATAAATAAAGCTTATACTAATGTAATGTGTTATTGATATCTCTAATATTAAAAAAAATTTTTAAATAAAGTGTGTGATTGTGAACATTAAAACAGTACCAATAATAATTAAATATATATTTATAGCAGCTATAGACATATAATATAAATATATATATATATATATATATATATATATATATATATTAATGTAAAAATTAAAAAACACGGAAATATGTGAACATTTGTTGGTTTTTCGCAGTAACGCCTTTGAATAATGCTAATATTCATATATCTTTATTTTAAGAGTTTAATTATATCGTAAACTACACATATCATTCATTTTTTATGGTATATTATATTTACGTACTAGCACAATATCAGCATGCCAAAATACATGGAACTCAGCCCAACATCAGCACCTGGACAAGGAGAGGAAGACTGCTTGTACCCAATTAGTCCCCAAATGTTGCCTAGTGGAAGACCCTATGTGCAACCTCATCCACTCACACAAACGCAATTGTATACCATTACAAAACCACCTTCGTTATGCTCATATCCACTGCCCATATTTCATGAATTCCTAAAGCAATTGGACCATAATCCAGCTACGATTCCCATTTTCCAAAATTACTATTATAATACTTTACCATTTGCTCGTGACTCTTCCCCACAAATATACCAATCATCAAGGAATATGTCAACAGAACAACGTTTGTAACACCTTTGGATACATAATCGACCATTGCAACTACAGTTACATCGTTTACGGCAGTCTACTTTACCGAGATGACATTTGGGACCAATTTGTGCTGTTCAGCCATCAAATGAACTACTCTACCAATATTACAAGCGCAGCATGCACATCTATTTATTCCTCTACTACTACTACTACTACTACTACTACTACTACTACTACTACTACTACTACTACTACTACTTCTTCTTCTTCTTCTTCTTCTTCTTCTTCTTCTTCTTCTTCTTCTTCTTCTTCTTCTTCTTCTTCTTCTTCTTCTTCGTCTGTTCATTATTTTATGCAGGTTTGGTCTGCTTTTATTTCTTTATTCCGCTTAAATTATTAATTTTGTCTTCAGTTTAAATAATTTTTTTAATTTGCTTTTGAATCTACCAATATCCTCGTAAGATTAAAATTTTTAATATCAATAAATTAAAACATTTATTATTTTTGTCCTCCATATTCTTTTATATACATTTGAATACATCAACTTATTTTTTTACAATTTTTTTGGAGTTAGTTGCATGCATGACACATATATCTTAGATCAATTAACCATATATCTGTTTAAAATAGTACTAAATTTGTTATACGCCACGTATTAATTGTTATTTAAGGGACTACATTCAACATAGTTTACTCTTAAGGTTTGTTCTAATAGTGTAGTATACTTATATTAATAGGAATAATAAGTATTTAATTTTTCTATTTTTAAACTACCGATCATTTTAATATAATTAAATATATTTAAAAATATATTTGTGTAAAAATTGTCTTATCTAATCTTATCTTCAGTAATTAAATTCAAATAAATTGCACTAAACATTCACATCATGAATTATGTTTGTTAATGAATAGAGCTGGATAACTAAATAACGAATACTAAAATGTAAATAAAAAATAATTATTAATTATAATCTATTTTTATTTCATAATATTTCTTTATAATCAAAATTAACTCTAAATATTTTTTCTATTTGTAATATGTTTCATTTGTTTCATTGTTTATTATTAATATACATTTTAAAGAAATATAATTAATTGTTTACGATTATTTGTTAGAAGGATTGAGCTTATTTAATTAAGACAATATTTATCTAAATAAGTATTAAATAAAATTTTAACTAATATACTGTATATGTAATGTAAGATTCAATTATACCAGAAATTTAAAATGAAATCCGATACTTAAGTTATTACATGTATTCGAATATTTTCGCAATTTTTATGAATTATATAAAATGATTTTTAAATATCAAATCGAGAATCATTGCAAATTTAATTATAGAAATATAGACTAGAAGGATACATTTTATTTATTAATTAATTAATAATTTAATAGAAACATCTTTTGCACAAATTAAGAAGAATACTAATAGTTATTCATTTTCTTTTAAAAGTAACTTAATAGATAAATTTCCAATTATCAAAGTTATAAACCATTTTTATCCATTAAATAAAATAATTTCTTTAATGATTGTTTTATATAAAATTGATAATTTAATTTTAATTTAGGTAAATTAATAGTTTTAAAATACGTAAATTATAAAATATTCTATTACTAATGTTGATTATTAATTAATTGTTTTTATGAGTGTTTTAGATTGTATAAAATTAAAAAAAAAACCTAAAATAAATGAAATTTTTAGAAATAGCTCGCAATATCTGCTAGAAGTATAAATATGTCTCTTTCCTTAGTTGCTGAAAAACTAACTAAAATAACAGTTTCTTTTTTAGGACAAGTCATATATTAGTAATAATGTTGTATTGTATTTCTTTGTTTTTCAGTACAATTTGGATTTCCGAGGACTTTCAACGCGTGGGGCTGGCGCTTCACCATACCGAAGCGGAGACGGACTAGGCGTCGATGGCGATGGAAGTGGTGTAGTAGGTGATGGTAGCAAGGCAGGTTCTACCCCTGGCAGCGATCCATCTGTCTGACAGTTTGGAATGGCCCGACGGGCCAAGGGGGATGCTCGCCGCACACGGGTTTCCTTTTTGCTTTTTTAAGCGATTCTCATTTTTACCCCACTGCACAATACATTCACATTTTTATTTACACACTTCAATTTATAATGATTTTCTTATGAAAGAAAAAAATCATAGATCTTAATTTTTTCGCGATATTAAACATAATTATACTATTTATTAAAAAAATAACTCAATTTTTTTTTTAATTAAAATTAAATTAAATTAAAAACGTTTGAAATTAAATTAAATTAAATTTAAATTAAACACGTTTGATTAATTTTTAATCAAAAATATAATATATTGTCATTACTATACATACTAATTATATATTTATAATTTTTTTGATCCTTTAAATTTTTAAAAAATATGGACATGAAAAATAAACAGAGGGAAATGTAAAAACGGCAACAAGGCAATTAGAGATGTACTTTATAGCAAACCAAAAATGCCGTGTGATGCAGTAACACAAATGATTGCGAACTCTTAGTATTGTTGAATCAAAAGACATGATTTTTTATGAAAATAATTTGCAAGGGAACATAAATTAAAGTAGAAAGATTTCGTAATTATCTACCTAACTGCTGCATTGAGGACCCTTTAATAATCTGAGCTTCCTTTTATGAAAAAACTATTTTATGAAAAATAATAATTTCCTTATTTAAGATGTATAAGGTTACAAACAAAAAATATCATGGAGAATCGAAAAAAATGCCAATGGTGAGATAATAAATGATCGATTATATTTATTTTCACTTTTCAATATACATTATTAATATTAAAACAATGTTATAAATATTTAAAAACAAATCTAATATTTTTCAGTACAATTGATTTTTAATAGTATTTTTATTACTATTTTTTAATTTCTATACGACTTTTTAATTAAATTCGATATATAAAACGTTAACTACATAATATACAAGATCTTACCATTCATAGATCAGTTCTTTAAACATTCTTTACATAAAATCTTAGTTAACACTTGTACGTAATTAATTTTATATATCAAATATTAACTATATTTTCTAGGAATGGTTTAAGTTTGAGCTATTTATATAATTACTATAATAATTATATAGAGAATAATATAACAAATTGTAATAATAGCTTGATACCAAATTTTACATCTTATTTTCACAAAATAATAGTTAAGTGCTTGTTAATTAAACTTACGTAAAAAGATCGAGCTTTTCCCGAGCGATAAAGTCCATAAAATCTTTATTGCAAAAATCGATTGTCTGCGATAGGAAATAATATTTATAAAATGTTTTCTATACAATTGACATGTGCGCAGCCAAAGCGCCTTAAATAAGTTTTAAACTTGTAAATTTAAAATAGAAAAAATATATATCAGTTTACTGATTGATCTCTAATGTATTATGGAGAAAATAAGAAAAAATACTGGACCTAAAGTTCAAATCATAATATTTAGATGTACTTAAATGTTCTATTGTATATGTTCAAGCGTGTACATATGTTTATGTATATATATATAACTATCAGAACAACAATGAATATACAGGTAGGAATGCATACATATTTATTAATGGGATATTTTATTCTTTTAGCTTTTAATATATCGTACAAATATTGAACAGTTTTAGCACAAAGAAATTATTCCTTTGTAATAAGATATAGATAAAATTTGAAAGAAAAAAAAGAATTCGTATATAAATGTATATAAAATAAGACACTCAGATAATTCTTTGAGTACGTCTCGTTAAGATGTATTATTAAATTTTGTAAAAATACCTAGCCCTTTTCATTTTAATACCACGAAATAACAAATTATATTTACAGTGCATTCTCTGTATTTTCTTTATTTAAATATAAATTCATCAATATAACAAATAATTATATATTTTTATCAAATAGATAAATAAATCAAAATCCCGCTATGGAAATCGTTTATTTATAAAGATTTTATTGAAAAATCGTGTTAAAAACATAAAATTAATACTCATAGTGCAAAACTTTTGGAATAATTGTATTAATAATTCATGAAAGTCAGGATTTTCGCAATAATCGACTGTGATATTGACATTCAATAAAACTGATTATTCAAATTATTCTGAGAAGTTCCTATCTATATTTTAAATAATAAGTTAATTTTGATTTCAACAAATTTTTTAATTTTATCGATCTAGAAATATTTACTTATATCTCTTTATATATTATTGATAGGATTGTTGTATGAAGTTTATATTGGAATAACGTTATTTTTGTAATAGTTGTGGAAACATTATTTCGTATCATAAAGATAGAGATATTTAAATGTTTTACAATGCAATTAAACAAAAGTGTGAACTTGAATAAATGAGTAAATATCAATATAAGTGAAAAAATGATAGCACAAATATTAAAAAAAATAATTTATTATTATGAAGAGCTTTATTAAATTGTAAAATTGCTAAACTTACTGTGGTCAATTTATTATAAACAATTTTTGTTGGATATTTACACATTATTAATTATCGCCATATATTTTATGTCTATAAATATACGTTAAAATATTAAATTATTATGGAAATTCGTCTTGCTTCGATAAAATATGTATAATTTACAATATAAATAAGCTTATGAAAAAACAAAGAAAAACAACTTAATATCTTAGAATAAGGCTATAAACAAATATCCTGTTATATTATATACTATAAGATATAATACTAAGATGAATTTACATAAAAAAGAATCGTGATAAACAGGGAAAACGTTTTCTATAATTAATGATAAAATAAAATGATATTCTATCGTCGTGAACCTTGTTACTTACTAATATTAAAATAATAGTTACACACTTATCTCAATCATCATAGATAATTTCTAAATGTTATTATAATTCAATAAATACAAACTAAGTCGATAAGATTATCTGTAAGTATATGAAATTATTTTGAAAAAATCATTGTTTTGTATTTGTTAATTTATAATTTTCAATCAATGATACTCTATTCCTCATAACATTTCCGAATTATAGTTTGGTTTGACTATTTGGACGATACATATATATGATGACGGTAAATATATATGATATTTTCTTAAATATAAAAAGAAATGAAAATTTTTAACAAATTTTTCAAAATAAGTATAACATCTAATAATAATTTCTTATTTTACGAAGTACAGCCATATTCCGTTACAACTATAATTCAAATAAATTTTATTTAAAAAGGACAAAATTAGATAGATAATCATACATATGGATGATATTAACATCTTAATTATTAGTTAATCTTAATTAATGAATTAGTTTATCTGCAATATGTAATAGTCGACTGTAAATTAAAAAATTATGTGCCTTGTGTTATAGATTGAATGAAATTAAAATTTAAAATAATATTCTTTTTTTTTCATTTATGAAAATTAGTCGTTGTGATAAAATAGCTTACAACAGATGTCATTTTTTAATAATTATCTATATTACATTGTAGTAAAAATGATATAAAAATAAAGCAAAGTTGAAAAAGCAATGAATGGAGCTAAATAAACAGTTGAAAGTACTGATGTTTTATTTTAAAAATAGAAAAAAAATTGTAATGATTGACCAAAATATTTGTACTAATTTCAAATTTATCAAATTTTGAAAATAAATAAATTAAATCACTGAATTTTTAGAATCAATGACAATCGCATATTAATTGTTTTGAGAAAAGAAAAGCTATTTATTATCTATGACAATAAATCACATTGTCGTAATTATTCGAATTAATATTTTTATAAAACATTTTCGTTATTTAACTAGCAAACAATTTTCAATTTTTTTTATCTTATCCTCTCTTGGCAATAAAGTATTTTTTAATAATCATTTTCATCATATATGATATAAATAATTTGTTTTTATAAACGACTTATGCATGTTAAGTAAGACTTATGCATACTAAGATAATATATGATTTTAAAGTCGAAATTTCCAGTTAGAAATAAAAAAGCTCTATCAACGAATAAGTTAATCTTTAAACAAATATTAAAATTAAATGTACTACAAATACATTCACTCGCTTTTTTATTATTACAAAATTTGTAAGCTAATGTTTTTTCTTTATATAAGTTTTTTATTTTATTACCATTATCTTAAAAAAATTTATTTCATTAAACAATGATAAACAGAAATATAATCTATTATTATGCATTTCTATGCATATATTGAAAAAATATATTAAATTTTAAATATTATGCGTATGTACTTTATCTATTCAGAAACAAATAATGTTCAATGAAAGCAAATAATAAATAATAAAAGAATTTAATTAAAACATTTAATTAAAACATTTTAACGTCTTAAAATCATAAAATTTATATAAATTAATAAATGAATATATAAAAATGAAAAACATGTATTATTGCATAGTCACATATACATATAAGCTAACAATTGGTAATTCTTTTGAAATTAAAATAAAATAAGCATATATAAACTATGAAATGATTGCTATATATTTTGAGTATAACGACTTTATTGGAAAAATATAAACTTTTAGCCTCTTATAAATTCATAGAATATAAGGAAAAATACATATACAAAAAATTAAATAAATTCAATTTGAAACGATTCATCGGATTGATGTCAAAAATTAAATTATTTTAATTACAAATCATTTAATTTAGGTATTAAGCGATATGAAAAATTCTTCTAAGAAGAAATATATTAAAAAAGCTAATTTCATTGTTTGGTTTTAATTGCTAGATCACTATTTATAATTGTAGCAAATAATAAATAAATAAATAAAATGAATAAAGAAAATATATTAATTTTATATATCTCAATGATTTTATTAATTTGTAAAACTAGTAATAAAAAAAAGATAATGAAAAGAATGCATAAAATAAGAACAAGAATTCATAAAAAAAATAAAAACATTGCAAAAAAAATAACAGCAAATGAAAGCAGTCTTACTGTCAATATTTACGACGGTGTTTAAAAATATTTAAAAAATTTCCAATATAAAAGTCATATATAATAATAAACGGTGTATAATAAAGTAAAGTTTAACTATTAAATGAAATAAACATCTACAATCTACAATAGTATGCGTGATAAATCATAGGATTTACAAAAACAAAATAGATTCCATACTTCGCATTTAATG